TTTTTTGTTTTTGTTTTTGTTTTATTTTGTTTTTCGAGACATGGTTTCTCTGTATTGTTTTGGAGGCTGTCCTGGAACTCACTCTGTAGACCAGGCTGGCCTCAAACTCACAGAGATCTGCCTGCCTCTGCCTGGGATTAAAGGCAAGCATCACAAATGCTTGGTTTTGGTCAGTATTAGTAACCGCACATAAACAGCCCCACAACTTTTTATGTGGATACATGTTTTCATTTCTCTTGAGTAAATGGTGACTCTGTTTAATCATCTGAGGGAATGGTTGGCTGGACCATGAGTGCATGAAGGTTAGAATGTGTCCAAATCCTTGCAAACACTTGCTACTATCTGACTTTTTATATTACCCGACTCAGTGGGTGTGAAGTATCTCATTATAGCTTTAATTTTCATTTCCCTGATGACTAATGGTTTATAGTGTCTTCTCATGTGCTTACTGGCCACTTATAGTTCTCCTTTTAAAGACACTTATCCGTTGTGTATGTGTGTTATAAGCACACACATGTCACACAACACGTATGTGGAGGCCAGAAAACAACTTGCAGGAGTCATTTCTCTCCTTCCATCGTGTAGGTTCTGGGGGTCACACTTAAGTCATCAGGCTTGGTGGCAAGGCGTTATTTACCTGAAGAGCCACCTCATCAGCCCAGGTTTTCTTTTAACCTCAAAATGACGCCATACTCCAATTCACACGTACATACATACATACATATAATCAAGCAATCCTTATATTTCATCTTCCCTTATTCCCTGGGCCCTAGATGTCCAATTCAAGGCTGAGAATTCCACGAAAGATTCTCTGTACTTGGACCAGTTGTGGGTCTGAACTGACTGACATCCTCTGTGATCACATAAAGAAGCTTTTCCCATGAGGGGTGAGGGCTGCTCTAGTCTATCGGGATAAGGGTAAGTGTTTAGAAGGCAGCTTGATACTATGTTGCCTGTGCTTTGTAAAAGTTTCTTCTGTAGTATCAAAATTCTGTAACTTTGGGGTCTTATTCTAATATTGTTTGATTTTTCTAATGTTATGCAGCCTAGCATCCCTGAGCTAAATCACAGTTGGTTTCCAATTCAGCAGTCCCCAGTTGGGCTAAGTTAAAAGTTCAGCAGCAGAATGCTTGTATAAGGTCTTGAGTTTGATCCCCAGTGCCACCACCACACACACACACACACACACACACACACACACACAGAGAGAGAGAGAGAGAGAGAGAGGGAGAGAGAGAGAGAGGGAGAGAGAGAGAGAGAGAGAGAGAGAGAGAGAGAGAGAGAGAGAGAGAGAGAGAGAGAGAGAGAGAGAGAGAGAGAGAGAGAGAGAGAGAGAGAGAGAGAGAGAGAGAGAGAGAGAGAGAGGGAGAGAGAGAGAGAGGGAGAGAGAGAGAGAGAGAGAGAGAGAGAGAGAGAGAGAGAGAGAGAGAGAGAGAGAGAGAGAGAGAGAGAGAGAGAGAGAGAGAGAGAGAGAGAGAGAGAGAGAGAGAGAGAGAGAGAGAGAGAGAGAGAGAGAGAGAGAGAGAGAGAGAGAGAGAGAGAGAGAGAGAGATGGCCCAAGATCAGGGACTGCATGCGCTCCCAGGACCCCATGAGTCCCAGGCCTTAGGCCTTATTACATCTAGGAAACACTTGAAGAAACTGCTTTTCATGAAGTGAAATCCTGCAGAACCCAGACATGTATTAGAGCAGTGGTTCTCAACCTTCCTAATGCGGGGTGAGCTTTTAATACGGTTCTTCATGTTGTGGTGTCCCCCAACCATAAAAGTATTTTTGTTGCTACTTCATAACTGTAATCTTGCTAATGCTATGAATCATGATGCAAATATTTAATGTGTGACCCCTGAGAAAGTGTCAGTTGACTCCAATGGGGTTGCGACCCACAGGTTGAGAACCCACTGTGTTAGAGTCTCCCATCCACTATGTTAGTGATGCCAGGTGCAAACTAATGACTCCTGTTTGACACCATTTCCACACAAAGTCCTACAACAGGCAAAATTCATCAAATGATGATAGAACTCTGACTGCCTAGAAAGAGGTAAAGGGAAGGTTCAGAAAAGACAGTGAGGTTTTTGTTTTTGATTTTTGTTTTTTTTTTTTGTACTAACTGATGGTCATTAATCAGTACAATGGTACAATTAAAATGTGTGAATTTTACTGTGTGCAAATTTTACCTCAGTGAAGTCATTCTGAAAAGCTATCATGCGTCTCAGAAAAGTGATGTTTTGGGTTTTTGAATACATAAGGTGTCATATATGATGGCATCTAGGAATCAGATGCAGGCTCACCACTTATGCATTAGGTGCTGAGGGATACTGATGTCTGCATCAAGTACTAATGGATACTGGCCAGCAACAAGCTGGGGGTTTTGGTGTTACTTAAAAAAGTGCTGCACAAAAAAACAAAACCAAAAACCAAAAAAACCCAAAACCTTGTTAGACCTCTGCAGCACTGAGAGAACTGCAAAGGACGACCTTGCCTTTGCCTTTGGGGAGTGGTTTCTAGAAAATTTGTGCATGCGGGCTGGTGAGGTGGCTCAGTGGTTAAGAACACTAGCTGGTCTTCCAGGGATCCTGAGTTCAGTTCCCAGCAACCACATGGTGGCTCACAACCATCTGTGATGAGATTTTGTGCCCTTTTCTGGCCTGCAAGGATACATGCAGGCAGACACTGTATATGTAATAAATAAATAAACTTTTAAAAAATAAAAGAGAATTCGTGCATGCTTGCTGTACCCCTAGATTCCGCTTGATAGAGACACAGCACACATCCTCACAGTGAGAAGAAAACACAAGCCCTTGCACCTTCTAACTCTGAGACCCCCCCTCAGAAGTTGACAGTAGGCGGGTCACAGCTCAAGGAGGCCTGCTTTCCCTACACCTTGTCACTGGTACCTGGGGCACCCCAGGTCAGCAGGCAACTCCAGAGACAGCAACAGCACATCTTTGACCCATGCTCTAGAAGACAGCTCAGTGATAGGTAGATCATCCACCTAGCACTGGCAAGGCCCAGACATCACTCCGTAGCACCAGAAAAAAATAAATACATAAATTATAAACTGAGCAAATATATAGATTTACAAATAGATGCTTTTTATTTTTAAAGTAAATTGCTTAAAGGGGGGTGGGGGCTGGGTACAGGCCTATAATCCCAGCTACTCAAGAGGCTGAGGCAGAAGAATCACAAATTCAAAGCTGAAAAAGTGAGGTGAGGTGTTGGGGGTCAGTGGTAAAGTGCCCGTGTGACCCTCTAGGAATCCCTTTGTGTGAGCACTTTCTGCCCTCTGCCAGCTGTCTTCCCAGCACTCTCTAGTCACAATCCAGCCAGCCTGCAGCCTTATCTTACTCACCTCCAAGCTGCACGAGCAACGATCAGTTATTCAGCTGAGATCTGCTTCTCAAGGGAAATCTCCTCGGCAGCCCCACCATAGGAAGAACTGGAGAGTGCCGCATAGACACAGGCCTCAGGGCCCACACCATCACACCTGGGTGTTCTGAGGGTGCCTGATGCTCTCAGAACCGCTTTGAAACTATGCTGGTCCGGTGAAGCTCCCAACCCATGGAGCTGACTCTGACTGCATCATACTCCTGTGAGTATGAAGGGCTCAGCCTGGCTACCGTGACCTCAGAGTGACCAGGCCCACCCAGTAACCTCACACTACCTGACTCAGGAATTCCATACCAAATGAATGCATCAGTCACTCCAGCCAGGGCCCAAGTCCCTTCTCCAGGAGCTACTGACTTGCCATGTCCCTGCCCACCTAAGGAAACTCTTAGTCATCTGCTCGCCCCAATCCTGCCCTCCCTGAGAATTCAGCAATATGAAGAAGTCCCAATTTCAGTGGCCCAGCATGGGCAGGGAGACACACCCCTAACTTTCCAGGACCTCAGCTCCTTGCTTAGGCAAGACTCCTTTTTTCCTAAGGATCTAATACATGGGAACTGTCATCCTCTTGTCATTACTCAAGAGCTTGCTATGATGACATCGGGCCCAAGGCCATGCACCTGACATGGATCACACCCAATTTGAGATCTAGGTGTCATGCACACATTATGCAGCTGAGGGAAGCTGAGACTTGGTCACTGAGCTGAGCTACCTAAAGGTAGGTAGTGCTTGTGGTGGGGGCTGTGGAGACTGGGTGTTACACGTGCAACTTGAAAGGTGGCTCCAGCTGGATACGAGGGTACATGCCTGTAACCCCAGCAGCACTCAGGAGGACCGAGAGAGTCTGAGGCAAGCCAAGGTTACACAACAAGTTCTAGGCCAGTCCAGACCATACAGCAAAGACCTTGTCTCAAAACAAACAAAGCCACAAACACTTACGTTTCAGACTGCTTTCTAAAGGCAGAGACAGCAGTTTTATAGAAAATAGGATTTATTATCACATTTGAAATGACTGTTTCAGAAATCTTTTACATATATTACCATTGATAGATTGGATTTATTTAACATACAGGAAAAACAAAGCTGGCCAGGAAAACAGTATGCATACGGGCAGTTTTCAACACAGGGATTCACATTGAGTAGACAGCCCCAGCACACAGGTCTGCCCCCAGGTCCCAGCTGCTTCTATCCCACAGGCTCCCTTCAAGAGTCGCAGCAGCCAATCAGCGGGATTCACAGTAATCGTGAGGAAAGGCATTGATCTTGGAACTTTCACAAGAGCCCTGAGTTATGTTTCAGAAGCCAGGCTTGGGGGAGGGGGAGTGGGGGTTGTGCCAGCTCAGGCCACAGAGTATAGAGCAGCTAGTGTCACAGTTTGCTTTCTATGAAATCGTATTAAATTACTGCAGCGAGGCAGACAGCGTTGAACAGCAACGGCTGCCCCCACTGGTCAAGGAAAAAGCCAGCACCCCTTCCCTGGATGCTAACTGATCATCGACGCCAATGCCCAAGGCACACAAGAATGACGATCATGGGGACACGTGCTGAGAGGATGCATGGCCCGATGGTCACGCTGATGCCCAGAAACAGGATCTGAGGAAGGGTGGACAGTTGAGAGCAGCCTGGTCCTGTGAAGGACCGCGTGCCTGAGTAGCCTGCGTCATGCTCAGTAGAGGATGTGGGTACAAACAGTTCTTTGAGGGCACCTGTGCTCGGAGCACTTGGGTGGCTGCTGCTGTCCTAGCACCTTGGCTGTGACTTAGCTCAACTGGCCACAGTCTGTGATGACAATCTTCTTGGAGGTCTTCCCACTTTTTGAGCCGAAAGATTCTATTTTCTTCACAACGTCCATGCCCTCTTTGACATGGCCGAACACAACGTGCTTGCCGTCCAGCCTGTGAGGAGGGTTGAGCCAAGTGAGAAACACCCGGTATAGAATTATTTGCCAAAGGTACTAATCCTCAAAGGACCATCTCCCCACCCCCCAAGGCTTAGTGAAGCTTTGTGAGCTCCCAGCTGTGTTCCGGAAGATGCTGGGCTCCCAGGAAACCCTGGGCTTTGATCTGGCAGCTTGATCTGAATCCTGGTGACCTTACCTATGAGAAGTGAGCTTTTTTTTTTTTTTTTTTTTTTTTGGTTTCTTGAGACAGGGTTTCTGAAACTGTATTGTTTTAGAGGCTGTCCTGGAACTCACTTTTGTAGACCAGGCTGGCCTCAGAACTCACAGAGATCCCCCTGCCTCTGCCTCCAGAGTGCTGGGATTAAAGGCATGCACCACCAATGCCTGGCCTGAGGAGTGAGCTATTCTTTTTTTTTTTTTTTTTTTTTTTTTTTGGTTTTACGAGACAGGGTTTCTCTGTTTTGGAGGCTGTCGGTCCAGCCTGGTCTCGAACTCACAGAGATCCCCCTGCCTCTGCCCCCCCCAGTGCTGGGATTAAAGGCGTGCACCACCAACGCCCGGCCCAGGAGTGAGCTATTCTTAATTCCTCCCAGGAAAATGATGGGCACAGAGCTGCTTCAAAAAAAGTACAATCAAACTAGTTCAGCAGGCAAACCAAGGGCCAGGACAGTTGAGTAGTTCTTGATTTGTGAGTTCCAGGAACAGAAAAGGGAACTTGTGGGCAGAGCTTGCAAGGAGCATTAAGGCTTCCACGGATGGAGCAAGGGAGATGGAGCCAGCAACAACCTGCCTGGCCCTGGCAGCCCTGCGTGGCTTGGAAGACAGAGGCTAGCAAATGTCATCCTGCCGGGGGAAAGGTACTCCTTGACAGCACGGCTTATGGGGAGAGAGGGGCTGGCTGGAAGGGTTGAGGGGCCATGGGAAGCCATGCTAATGGCGTTGGAGGGAAACCTGCCTCAGTACCCAGGATTCCACAAGCATGTTCTTGGTGGAGGCAAAAGGCAAGGAGGAAGCATCACGTTAGGCCGGGCAAACTGGCTCCTACTCAGACCACCACGAGGTCACTTACTGAAGTATTTCCCCAAATGTGGGTGTGGGGTACAGGAACCTCTGTGTGTGTGTGTGTGTGTGTGTGTGTGTGTGTGTGTGTGTGTGTGTGTGTGTGCGCGTGCGCACACGCAGCTATGACACAAATCAAATTCTAGTCAACAGCACCACCGGGAAGCACAGGTGTGACAGTCACACAACAACCCAAACTGTCCCTCGTTTCTCTCCCTGTCTCTCAGACAGACGCACAGTCAGGAGAAGCAAGTCGCCGGCCCAGAGCAGATGGCCCAGCTGCACGCTGCCTTCCCGACGGTGCACAGACCTCCTCTAGCTTCATCCTCAGAGGGCCTACAGTGTGAGCTACTCACCAGTCCGTCTTTATTGTGCAGATAAAGAACTGAGAGCCATTGGTGTTGGGGCCTGCGTTCGCCATGGACAGGACACCTGTAAGACAAGCAGAGTGGGGGCTGAGTCACCCAGGAGGCCCCTCATCTTGGAAGAAGAGATGGCTCACACTCATCAAGGACATGTGAGCCTGTAGATTCTGGAACCAGAGAGAATCGGCGCTAACATGAGCTTGGGTGCCCTGACTGCCTGCTAGTTTTCTATAGAAGTGACTGGGATGGAAGGACTTGAGGGATCCCAGAGGGAGAGTTGATTGGAAGCCCAGATATGGCCTCACTGCTTTCCCACACTCTGCCCTGGACTCTGCTTAAAGACTCCTCGACCAAGGAAGTTTTTTGTGTGTTGAAGCAAATCTCACCATGTAGCCCAAGATGGCCTCAAGCTTTGGGTTCTCCTGTTTCAGCCTCCCAAGTGCTGGAATTACAGTAGAAAGCCTGGTCTTCACAGAATTAGAAAGGGAAACCCAACCAGCTAGAAATGCTGAACTGCTTGATGCTAGCAGCATGGTGGGATGTCACGAAACTGGGGACCACGGCTTCCCCCCAGGCAGCCGGCTGTGGCAGCGTCCGGATGGAGCTGCAGAGAGCACCAGAGAGGGGCTCACAGTCCCACTTACCTGGTCCCACGTGCTTCAGTGTGAAGTTCTCATCAGGAAAACGGCTTCCGTAGATGGACTTTCCTCCCGTGCCATTGTGGTTGGTGAAGTCGCCAGCCTGCACACAGAATGCCTCGTCACAAAGCTGGCATCGTGGGTCCCCTAAGAAGGCAGCCCCAACCCACCCAACGCCCACCCTCAAGGCCAACAGCCACCCAGTGCCTGAGATAAAATGGACAAAGCGAAAACTAAGCCTCTGGGTCTGGAGCTACGCCATGACAAGCCCGGTTTCTTGTCTGAACTCGTTTTTTTTGTTTGTTTGTTTGTTTGTTTTTGTTTTTTCCAGCAATCCACATGCCTAAGGTGTTCTGATTTTCAACCCACAATTCCTAAGAGAGCCACAAGCAGGTGACCAGGGGTCCTGGTCTTGGAGATGGGCTGGAGCAGGAGACCAGTTCCCCAGGCTGGCTTCCCTCCTTTGGCCCAGCATCACCCTCCCAAAGCTCAAGCCCAACGTCTCTGTAGACACACGGCACACGGTGGGCTGGCAGCCTTCCTCAGAGAGCCTGCCCAAGGTTCAGGCAGCCTGGGAAGACCTGCGTGGAGTTTCTGTCCCGAAGAGTATACAGGAGCAGTTCTGTGCCCGGTTGTTGGCCGAGGCCACACTGTGGTTTCTCAGAGGTGCGAACTGCGTACCAATAAGGTGTCCCCAGTCACCTTGCCTCTAGAGGCTACTACCGGAAGCCATAAAAAGCTCTCCCGATCTGCGCGCACCTCCAGATACCCACCTTAGTGCCTACCTCATACACCAACCCCAGGTGGAGCCGGGGAGCCTCTGCAGCAGAGAGGCCACAGGACTTGGCTGAGTTTAGCCACAGCCCCGCCTGCCTCTCCTTCTCTTTGTCACACCCAGTGTGTGACCAGGCACCACAGAGTGTCAGCAGGCACAGCCCCAACCCACGGCTACTTGGTTACAAGCGGAGAGAATAGGCAGAAAGGGCTTCGGGAGACGTCTGTGCCCACCTCGAGCTCTCCTGGCATCCTTAACCCCCGACCTTGAGTCTGCCCAGGGAGTTTCTGTTGCTAACACCTATCCTCAAACCTGACAAGTTTGTAAGACAGGGAGAACGTGTGACTAAAGAATGTGTTCATTTAACCGGGAAAAGGCCCTTCGCCAAGTCCAGGCGTGTGTGATCCTGACTTAACCATCTTCCTCCCATGCCCAACGGCACACAGGATGCCAAGATGACTGTCCAGCTCTGGTGGGGACAGCCTCCTGCTGTGTCCCTGCCATACACTAGGCCCCTGCTTGCTTATCAGTGATCCTAACCACCACCCCACCCTACCCCACCCCTCTCCCCTCCCCCAGGCATCTCCACCGCCAGCTCCATTCACAGCGGAGGCTGTGTTACTGTTACCTGGCACATGAAGGATGGGATCACCCGGTGGAAGGTGGAGCCTTTGTAGCCGAAGCCCTTCTCACCGGTGCACAGGGCTCTGAAGTTCTCTGAAGAAAGAGGGAGAGGCAGGTTACGGGCAGGCCACACCTCCCCGCCAGGCCCCCAGGTGAGCTGTGTGTGTGTGTGTGTGTGTAGAGACCCTGCCCGTCCTCCTGAGTCCATTCCTGATCACATACTTCCCTGCCTTGACCTGTGACTAGAATGCAAGCTCTAAGCTGTGCCAGCCAGAATAACAGGGCGAGCAGCCCAAAGACTATGTACCTAACCCTGCCCCGTGCCATCCAGCATGCAGAAGGGGTTGGAGGCTATCTCTGGGAGCTTACACGAGCCCTGGTTCTGAGATGTCTAGTTGCTCTCAGACTGCCTAGCAGAGCTGACAGAAAGGTCCAGACAGGGACAAAAGGCTGCCTCGGGGAACTCAGCAACTGGCCTTAAGTCAAAACCCCCACACTGTCATAATCTGAGCCCTAACTCCTCCCCCAAGCCCATCAGCCTTGCCTGGCTCACTTTCCAACTCCGTCTTACCTGCTGTCTTGGGCACGACATCTGCCTTTAGCTACGGGAAGGAAAAGGAACAAAAAAAGGATGGTTAGTCCAGGAGGTGCGGGGGGGGGGGGGGGAGCCCCCTCGCCACTCACACCCAGGGGCCAAGGCATCCTGAGAAAGAACCACAGGACCACTCCTTTCCTATGACCCACCCCACACACACAATCCTTCTACAACAGCCACAGCAGCTATCATTTCGGGCAGCTGCTTCCTGAACCCAAGGTTTGCTGGAGGCAGCCTCAGTTTCTTGTCTATCAGAAGAGACCAGTGTCATCCTGGCCCTCTTCCGGGGGGCAGAATTGGCAGCTGGAGGCCCAAATCATGAGTTCCTGAACCAAGAGTATCATAGAACCAGCTGCCATTCCTCAGTGCAGAGAGAAAAATGAGGCTCACGGGAGGGAAGGAGGGGACAGTTAGGAAAGACTGCAGCCCCATTCAAGTCTGCCTCTTGGCCTCTCAGCTTCTCTTAAGGATCCTTTGGTGGTGGTCCATGCCTTTATTCAAGGCAGCCTGGTTTACAGAGCAAGGTCCAGGGCAGCCAGGGCTACACAGAGAACCCTGTCTTGAAACAAACCAAACCAAACCAAAAACAACAAAAATCCCTCTTCACCAAATGGGGTGAGGGAGGTGCTCCTCATCTTCCAAAAGGGGAAACTGAGGAGTAACAATAAATACCAGGCCCCTCCTTCCCCAATAAATCGATCGATCGATCGATCGGTCAACACTATCTGGTCTCTTCATTTAAAATGAAGGCAACTCTAGGTGACTGTTTCTTACTTCTCTTTTTAAGGGTTGAACAGGAGCCTCAGAGAGCCGAGAGGGTTGGGCTCCCAGTTGAACCACCTTCCCACTTGAATTCCCGGAATGCCTCCTCCTAAGTAGCCAGAGAGGCGGATCGGAGTGCTCTGGGCATTAAACACAGGCCACTACGGGAGAACTAGGCAACACCTGGGCCTTAGACACCCACACCTCAAGAGTTCTGGGTCCAGCCTCGGACTCAGAGGGTCTCGGAAGCCCCAACCTCGGCACTGGCCCGCCAGTGGGGCTGTCACTCAGTGCGAACTGACCTTGACCTTTCCCTCTACACAAGCCCTCCGTCTGACCTCCACACTCCTCAAGGGTGTTGAAGCCTTGGGAGAGACCAAACTGAGGTCGCCTCTCTGAGACAGGGGAACTGAGGTCCAGGGTTTGCAAGGGAGCAAAGAGGCCCAAGGTCACCCGGCGTGCCAGGCACAGAACGGGGACCGAGGTTTGTCCTAAGCCCAAACCCGGCAGGTCGGGTCCAGGGTCCTCACCTCCAGCACCACGCGGCCGAGCGGCTGCCCGTCGGCGCCCACGTCCAAGTACACGAGCGGGTTCCGGGAGGAGGAGTTCGGGTCGCGTGCTCCGCCGTCGCTGCAGGCGCGGGTCGCGGAGAGGAGCAGCGGCGCGGGGCGCGGGCTGGAGAGCAGGCCCAGGAGGCGGGGGCCACAGCGCAGCGCCAGCATCGCGGTCGCGGGGCGGGCAGGCGGGAGAAGGCGCGCGAAGAACTCGCGGCAGCAGCAGCAGCAGCAGCAGGAGCAGGAGCAGCGACAAGGTCGCACGACCCAGGAAGCGATACCTCGGCCACGCGCCGCCGCCTTTATTGGTCGGCTGACTTCGGGGCCACGCCCTCTCCGCGCAAGCCTCCGCCACGCCCCCCCGAGACTGTTCGCTAGCGACCCCTGCTGGCTTCGTCGGGCAGCTCAATCAGTTCGCGTAAGGCGCTCCACACACCACCCCCATCTGTGCACACAGAGCGTGAAGCCCTTTGAAAGCGCCTCTAGAGCAAGAGAGAAGCTGACCCTGAGAGGAGTCAGGAAGACGAGGAGGGGGCTCTAAGGTGGATTAGAAAGGGAAAGATAACAGAAAGAACAGATAAGCAGAGATTCCCTTCCAAGACAAGCGACCTCAGGCCTCTGGATCCTGGGCTGAATCTGTCTCCATTTGCTTCTGGACATCCGACCCTCCGCCCGCAAAACTGAGAATACAGCGCGCTCAAGGGTGCACCTGCCAGGCTTCAGTCCCAGGACAAGCCTGGTCCCCACCGCCTCCAGCTGGGCTAGGTCTATACCCACTAGCACTTGCCTGGAATATACTTTGCCAACTGTACCGCTCTCCTACAGGTAACTTCTTAAGCAACCAGTCTTAAGGGATGCCAGGAAGTTGGCAGCGCATGATGCAAAGGGAAAGGCGATGCAGGGGAGCCACAGCCAGGTTTTCCAGGCCTTGTTAGCTGTGCATAACAGCAGCCTGGGAAGCAAATGAATGCCAGCAAATGAGGGCACGCGGGCCAACATCTTTGGTCTTCAGATGGGAAACTGAGGCTCAGAGAGAGAAAAAAGTTCTGGTTAAGGCTAGAGAACCCTGGCTCCCTCCTGCTGGTTTGCACCAGTCCTTCTGCAAAGGAGCCATGAGAAATTTACCCCTGCTTTTCCTTCACACCCGTTCTAGGGATAAATAAACAAGAGACACATTTGTTCACTGTTAATGCCCTGCTATGGGCAACAGTGATGGGCGTGGCCTACACTGACTGACGCGGGTACAGTTTGGGGCTGGGTGGGTGGGGGGTCCGTAGCTACTGCAAGGTCTCAACAGCCTAAGAGAGAAGAGAAGGAGAGGGGCTGAGCCTTGGGAGCAGGGGAGCCCGGCCTGCCCCATCCAAGAATCAGTTTAAGGGAAGACATCCAGCAGCCAGGCTGGTCCAAGCAACTCCATGAAGTCGGGAAGTGCTCTCTGCCTCATACATGCCAGTCTGACCCCTCTTGTGAGGGTTCACGGTCCAATGCTTTGTCAACCCTATGCTTTGTGCTACTAGCCTGGTGGGTTGTTTCCCAGGCCCCAATCTAGGGGTGGACCGCACCCAACCCGGAAGAGCACCCCTCTTTTCTTAGCAATTTATTTGTTTCCACTTGTGTGCGTTGGTGTTTTGCCTGCCTGCATGTCTGTGTGGGGGCGTAGGATCTCCCAGAACTGCAGCTACAGTTGTGAGCTGCCACCTGGGTGCTGGGCATTGAACCTGGGTCCTCTGGAAGAGCGGCCAGTGCTCTTAACCACTGAGCCGTCTCTCCAGCAGAAGCCCCGTCTTCTCTTGTCGGTGGGTACCAAAGTGAGCAGCCTGCATGGAAAAGCTCACTTGTTCTCTCCTCTGCCGGAGCCATAAGGCCCATGGTCTACATCTATGTGGCAGCAGTGCTCACTTGGACTTGAAGGGCGTAGAGAGGGATCACTACCCACATGCACTGTTAGCAGGCATCCAAAAGCCCCAGCTCTAGGCCTTGACTCCTACGGCCTTTGACATACCCGAAATGGAAACTGAGGAAACGAGTTGTCTTTCACGTCTGCGGGGGTGGGGGTGGGGCTCAGTCTCTCTCCTGCTGTCATAAAAAGTGTGCACACTCCTGCCCCAGAAGAGAACATGACTCTCACCCCTCCCACTGGCTTCCCCAGCCTCAGACCTCGCCCACCAGCTGGTGGTTCAGGGAGCAGCTCCCTTTCCCAGGGGCCCCCGCATTGCGCAGTGAGTTGCCAAGGGCAGTGTGTTGGGCTGAGACCCAGTCTGTCTGACTTCAAGGTCAGGGTCATTGCATGCCAAACCCACCTGGCTGTCATCGGGGAGCAAGATTTGGGGCAGGGCGAGAGAGAAGCCTTGGAGGGACAGCACAGGAAGGCAGAAAATGAGGTAACCAGGAGGAGAGGAGCACAGGGGACATGGGGGGGGTGTTTTCCACCTTGGGGAAATCAGCCTCTGGGTACCACAGGGCAGAAGAATGGAAAGAGGTTATTCTGGTGGGGGTGGGGGTGGGGATGGGGGACGAATGAACCAACACCAGTCCAGGCTGGGGTTAGTTAGGGCATCTTCGAGAAAAGGCTGTGCGATCTTAGACATGAACTGGAAACGCCATGAGAGGAGAGTTACAGAGGTCTTTAAAGGCCAGACGGAGGCCTGATGTGGGCAGCACTGGAAACCACAGATGGCACGATGCTCCCTCCTCTACCTTCCTTCACACTCTTGGGCAAACACATCGTCACCCTACCTCGTATGAGCCAGAGAACACTTCCATCCTCACCGCAGGCTGGATTTCTGGCATCCCTCCTACCTGTCCTTTCTTCATTGGTATCAGGAGACGCAGTCCCTAAGCTGAGCCGTGGCTAAGCACATGCCCAGTCCTGAGGACATTGCGCCCAGCTGAGATTACATACCCAGCTGGCGCCTCCCTCTTATAGACTACTGGGCCGTCTTCAGAAGTGACTCCCCAAAACTGCCCAGGTGACTTCTTATTCAAGAGTGCTGACAGCTGATGTTTCCCTGGGACCCTGTAACAGCATGCTGGGGCCTCACAGAGCCAGAGGGCTGTCAGGAGAGACTGGCATCAAAATCGTGTTCTGGAGTTGCAAACTAAGATGCCCACGGGAGCCAGGAGTCGTGCAAGCTGGGGACAAGGAGGAGGGAGTGGAAGATAAATGCTGTCCTAGTGGCTGAGGCATGCGCTAGCTGGAGAGTCCCGTAGGTGGAACCGTAGAAGCAGCGCAGCCAGGTAGGCCTTCGCATCATCCAATAAGAGCAGAACACCTGACGTTTCCAACAGATCAAAAATTTATATGTTGTAGGGAGCCACTCCTGCATTCTCCATTACAAGATGGCGCCTGCATCCGGCAGGTACTGTTGGTAAACGAACAGAATACGCATCCGCTGGGTAATTTTCCATCCCTTGAGTCCCTGCCTCTCCCGTGGCGTCACACGGGCCGATGAGCAACAGCCAGTCAGGGGGTGACACGTCCCAGGCGAAGGTTGCTGGCCTATATAAGGAAGGGGTTTTATGTGTTTGGGGTCTCCGCTCTGTAAGCTTATGCTCTCCCTCTCAGATGCATTAAAGCTTCACTGTAGAAGGATCCTGAGTGTGCTGCGTCGTTCTTGCTGGCGAGACGGTAGCGCGGGACAATATGTCTGTGTGTATCTCTGTGTGTATACGCACACGAGTGCAGGTACCCACGGAGGCCAGGAGAGGGCATCAGATCCTCCGGACGCTTGTGAATCACCAAGTTTGGGTGCTGGAAACTGAATTTAGGGCCTCTGAAGGAACAGCAAATGCTCTGAATGACTGAGCCACCTCTCCAGAAACTCTGATTTGAACCAGGGTTTCATGTAGTCCAGGCTAACTTCGAGCTTTGCTATGTAACCGATGAGGACCTTGAAATTCTGACTCTTCCTGTGTCCCTGATGAATGTTGGAATTACAAGTGTGTACCACCACACCAGGTTCAAGTGGTGCTGGGGGTCAAACCCAGGGCTTTGTTAGGCAAGCACTGTATCAATTGAACCACATCCCCAGGTTCAAAATCTAGTTTTTAAGAATGTTGGGGCCGGGCGTTGGTGGCACATGCCTTTAATCCCAGAGGCAGGTGGATCTCTGTGAGTTTGAGGCTAACCTGGTCTACAGAGCGAATTCCAGGACAGCCTCCAAAACAATACAGAGAAACCCTGTCTTGAAAACAACAACAACAACAACAAATGTTGGAAACTATTTCTTTTTTCTTTCTTTCTTGTTTGCTTTTTCTTTGGTTGTTTGAGACAGGGTCTTGCTGTACAGACCCGGATGGCCTATAGCTCACTAAGTGTGTCAGGTTGCCCTTGAACTTGCATAAATCCTCATGTCTGTGCCTCCCAAGCGCACAGGGAGGCACAGTTTACAGACTGCCTCAGCTTACACATTTCAGGTGTTTGCCACCTTGCTCGTCTTGGGAATTCATTTCAAAGTAAAATTAAACGTGAGATGAGCCATGAGAAACATATCCAGTGTCAAGACAAGGCAGGTGCAGTGTGCGGTGTGATGGTCCATGCAGGCGTGTGAGGCAGAGGCAGACGCCGTGGTGATCGTGTGCAAACTGGGACTGTCCAGAGAGGCTGTGCAGGAAGCGCAGCAGTGACAGCAGGTGCCTTGTGTGGGCATAGGGCGTGGTTTCATACTGAAGCCTGTGCAAGTTCACAGAGGTGTTTGGTTTGTTTTTGCTTCTTTGAGCCTTGGGTTTCCTCATCTGCGCAGAGGAGTAAATAATACATATTTCTTAGGAGTGCTCCTGCTAAGCAGAAGGGAACTTGAACACACAAGGGGCTCAGTGAAGGAATGAGTGAGAAATGAATGAGTGAGTGGATGAATGAATGCCTTCCTGTCCGGGCCAGCAGAAGAATCCGACGGAGGTGGGAATTTTGTTGTTGGCAGTGGTTTCTTGGTTTCTGAGACAGAGTCTCATTACCTTATGTGACCCACAGCAGCTTCAAGCTTGTGATCCTCCTGTCTATTGAGCACTGGACTCACAGGGTGTGTGTCCCGCCAAGTCTAGATAGACGGGTGAGTTCGAAAGCTTGGCCTTGGTTGGGGTTCTATGTGGTCTTATGAGGGAGCTTTGCCCTCCTCACCCATTGCCCCCTTAGGGGATTCCCAGTCCCACCCTTGCCCCACCCTGAGCAACAAATTTGGAAGCTCCACGTAATCGAGCGTAGAGCTTAGCCTTCAGTAATCCCCATGAAGTCGGTGAGAAAACTGGCTTAGGCTGCATCCTTATTTCATGGAGAATGTGGGGGCTCTAA